GGTCACCGCGTTCAACCTGCACTAAAAGTCAATTCAGTTTCAACTCCCCTGGCAGTGTAGCGTCAGTCATCTGTACAGTGTCAAAATACTGCCTGGCACTAGCATTTGATCCAACCCCCTCTCTCATTTATCCATGACAACACAACGCTGTCAAAAGGACTAGATACCCTTCAGTAAGAATAGTTATTTTTTTTTTTTTTTTAAACCACAGCAGCAAGAACTAGATTGCAACCAAGCCCTTACCAACAATAAAGCATTTTACACTGTGACTCGGGTGTCAGTCATTGTCAGAGATTTCAGTTCGATACACAACGCTATGCAATGACTGTGGGCTGAGAAAACATTGAATAATAAAACACATTAGAGTGCAGTGTTTTGCTAATTATACGGTACTGTTACTGTGAAAAACTAGAAAGTGTTTTTGCATTTCCTAACAGAAATTAGAGTCATCTTCAAGAAGAATCTTTTTAAAAAACGGTTTAGTGCTTAGTGTTTGTAGCACAACAATGCAACTTAGTTCAGCAGATAGTTTGGCAACACTTAATTGAGCAAGATAGGATTTAAAAATAAGGCTTTACATAGGTTTGTCTTTTCAGGAGTTTGCTTTTAGAAGAATGCAAGGTAACTTTCATACTTTAAACAAATGCAACTGTGAACTGATTGGTTCGAGAATTTATGGAAGAGAACTAATTCAGAACAGACAAACTTGGCATTGAGTGTGAATGCTCCATTGTTCCGAGCAAAGCACGGGGTTTGGAGTGGGGTGGGGGAGGGCGGCGCTTACAGCAGCAGACATTTTCTCTTCCTCTTCTTTACAGGAGGGGGGCACAGAACTGCTCGGATCGCTTCATCAAACACTGTCTTGAGGCCTCGCTGCGTAAGTGCTGAGCATTCGAGGTATTTCACTGCACCTGTGGAAAGCAAAAAGGCAATTACAGAGCAGTTTTCCAGCTACAGCAGCACCACTTCTAGCTGACTCCACAACAAAAGGCATTTATTTTCATTAAGGTGCAACATCTTCCATGAGCAAAATTAGATCAACAATAATCCCGCTGCCATCATACCAATCTCTTTTGCCATGGCAAGGCCCTGTGGGTAGGTGATAGGAGTCAGCTTCTTCTCCTTCAGCTTTTCAATAGTGTCCTTATCATCCCGGAGGTCGAGTTTGGTACCCACTAAAATGATGGGGGTGTTGGGGCAATGGTGCCGCACCTCAGGATACCACTGCAGAAAAACAGCGTTAGGTTGGGGGGGGCAGGTTTCCGAGAAGGCTCTTGAATGTTACAGCTGCAAGGCTCGGTGTCCTTCACGACACTTTCAAGAGTCCGTCAAGAGTAAAGGGAGAGCGTAAGACCCCAGTAAGGCAGTATTAAAAAAAAAGAGCAGACAATTGCAAAACACTTTTACTGAAGCCAACAGGTATTTCCGTATACCTTAAATAATTACCCTAATCAGGGCTGCATTTTCTCCACACACCTGAAAAACCCTGGTCTGCACTTCCCCTACCCTACCCCACCTCCTCTGTGCAGTCTCCCCAGGGCCATACGGCTGAGCTGCCAAAGGATGCGAAGGACTGCAACAGTGGCAGAGCACGTGCTGGAGCGCTGGCTGATTCAAGAAATAAGTGGTATCATCAGCCTAATTTTTACATACATTTGGTTTTTTATATTTGTCTTTACATTGCATTAAAAGGAAAGTTCCTGTTCGTGATCTTGGCCCCTTGTTGGCTGAAGACTCTTATCAACTATTGTTATCCCATCAACGCATCGAGTAACGATTCATACTAGAGCCTGTCACATGCCCTGAACTTCCATGACTTAGAAGTTATTCAAGTGGATTTCTGCCTTCCCAAACTACATTTCACATAGCCTGCCAAAAAAAAAAAAAAAAAAACCCCACCCGAAAAAAAACTAACCAACCAAAAAAACCCCACCCACAAACCACAAAAAAACCCCACCTAATATTTTCCAGACACTGCTGTAAAGTGAACACTATGTTGAACCCTGAGAAACAAACCAATACCAGCTCGTACCTACCTTAGCACGGACATTTTCAAAGGAAGCAGGACTCACAAGGGAAAAGCAGATTAAGAAGACATCCTACAAAACAAGTTGATAGAAGTTAGCCCAGCAGAGCAACCGTTACAATCTCACCACCCTGAAAAGGCCAGTGTCACCAGCATCGATGTCACACTGCCACCTGTGTCACACCTGCAGAAGCCAAGGTCGGCGACACAGTTGCACATGACAATCAGATGTAGCTTTCCCAGTGGGAAATCTATTCCCAGGCAGCTACAAGCAGACACAGAGAGGGGAACCAACAACAAACAGATGTAATCAAGTTTATAATCAGCTTTTGTAGTAGCCAGCAGCTAAAATCCTAATGCCAGTGAACTGCAAGATTTTCTTCCCCGAATGTTATCTCTTCTCCCTCACTAACATTCAGAAAAAAAAAAAAACCCCAAAAAAAACCCCCAAACCACCACACTTCAGATCCTTGATGAACAGAGGAAGCAGTGAGGCGGTGTGTTAGACTGCCTTCTGAACAGGGGCTGGGTGCTCTCTGCACACCTCTAAGTGACTGAAGCCTTGAAAGACACACAGCTCATCAGCACAGGCTGCTGCAAAGTGTTGGCACCAATTTTGTAAATACAAATATACTATAATATACTACTCTAAAGTAGTCTTAAATGGCAAAGACAAAGTATACATTAAAAAAAAAATCGTACAACAGTAACTTCTACAATTACTTCCATGCCCAAGTCAGAAGAACCTTGTGGAACTGTCACTTCTACTGAATGTCAGTATAGAACGACTTCAGAATTTCTTTATAACCAAATTAGTATTAAGAAGGGTATTAACACCCTCAGAGCACCCTCCTTCCCCTTCTAAATTATGAGAAAGCAGAGCAAAAAGTGGGTGTTTTCAGGAACCTTACACGTCTCGATTTTCAACTGAAGGCAAAAGAAAGATTCTAAGTAAGAGCAAGTAAAAACATTTTACAGCAAACGCTTACACTAAGTGCACTGCAGTATACACTTCAAAAAAACCCCAATGAGCTTCACACATGACACGGTAGTCTACAAGCATTCAGAATAACCACAAAATTAATTTTCGCCATCTAACCAGACAGAGTCTGTAATCTTGCCATATGGCCCAAAACTCAAGAAGCACCTCTCGAGCAAGCCCAACTTTCCGCAACCTACCTCTGCATCCGTACTTATTCCGGTGTCAAATGTGTTAAAAGAATCAGGCGTTTCAGAATGTTAGTTGATTGTGCTGCATTTCAAGGCATTTTGTTAGGTCAGCATCTGACATCTGCACTGCTAAGCACTTGCAACCCCGTTGTTCATGCATCACCCCAACAAGTTTCCATAGCAGCGTCCCAGAAGAAGAAAGAAACAACATCAAATAATGTGATACTATGGCCACTACTTCTCTTCTCCAATTCTACAGGTTTGTAGTGACTGAAGATCTGCACATTACACAGACTCTCTCCTTTACTAGCTCCAGAGATCACGAAATTCAGTGTAACCATGAGGAATTATTTGAAGATTTTGGGTGTCTTGCACACTACCAATCTCAATAAGTAGGAGGCAAAGCTCTTTATTTACAAGAAAAGGGTTAGTCTTAGCAACTCATACGAAGAGATTTGGTAACAGATTTCTCAGATCTAGCAATTCAATAGTTCCAAGAAAAGCAGTTGTTTAAAGAATAGGGGCCAATTTATCACTATCATAAGCAAGACAAGATGACAGAACTTGGAACTGAAGTTTATTTAAAGTTTTACATACGGCAATAGGTTGATCTGTCAGACTGGAAGATATATTCTTACCATTGGTTCCTCCAACCTAATAACAGTAGGAGATAAAGTTACTCCTAAAATGGATTTAAGGGAAGACGTTCTCTGAGTCAGCGATTTATGCTCACAAATATTTACAACGTGGCTCTTTGTCTTAAGAGAGATGCTGCCCTGTAATTCAGCACAACCAACTACCTGCATCCACAACACACCACCGACTGCCCCATAAACCTGTCAATGCCTGTCTGCGTTGTCAGAGCAAACCTCTCGGGAAAAGCATCTTCCTAACTTAATTTTCTTTTTGGTTTGGTCTCCTGAGGAAACAAAATCAACCAACTTTTCTGTCCCAATTTCTTCCTTCCCAAAATATTTTGAAATACTGGTAGATTTCAAATAGATTCAAGGAAAAGGTATTACATTCCTGCATATTTTAAGGAAAAAAAAAATATCAGTAAGGGAAAAAGATGCAAATTAATGCCTTCACTACGGCAAAGTCCTTACTGGGAAGTTAATAGCTGCTGAACTGCTGGGTGGCTAATTGAGATAACACGTTAATTGGCCACATATCAGCAATGCCTGCCTTCACCTTGCCCAGGACATAGCTCAGGTGCACATATAGGAAAACAGGGCCACAAGAACATGTGAGGGGTGACTTTAAATAGCACAGTGAAGGAAGGAGGAGGCTTCATCAGCTCCGCTGTTCTCTTCCTCTGTGCTTTTTGTTACTGCTGTGGGTTTTTTATCCCTTAAGTGATGATGAACCTTGCGTATTGCACAAGTCTAAAATCTGAAGATTGCTTCATAAGAAGTTCAAGACTTACCCTGTTTCATTTTCTGCATTAGAAAACAATCCAAATAACTGAAAGTGCTTCAAACCTTTACTTAAGCTACACATGCGTGTACAGAAGAGGTTTTTTTACCAGAAGTGTGCTTAGACTGACATGGAATTCTTTTGCAGACTGTCAGAAAGCCACAGTTATTTTAGCAGGCTGAAGACATGCACGTGCATTCTGTCGCTTTGTTATAGGGGAAAAACAATATTCTCCCTTACAGCTCTGCTTTCTCACACTATTCAGTGATCTTCCAACATACCTTTTTCTACTCTGAAATACTTTTTTGAAAATATTTTTGTGACACTAAGCAAAGCTTAAGTTCTCCTAAGTATCCCTTAAATGTCTAAATATTAGTGAAAAACAGCTTTCCGTTGTTTCTTTTCCTAGAAAAGGCAGATATTTCTGGCATTTCTACTAGAGTTGCCTACGACTTGCAAGTTCATATCCATCTTGGGTATCACAACTGGCGGGAAAGCCAAATTGTAAGAGTTAGTGAGCAGTGAATTAAGGAAATCTGTGAATTAAAGACAGTTTACTTAAAAAAAGCACCAGAGTTCATTAAGTAAGATTCACGTTATTCAAGAGAGCAGTTATGCTGTAAAGTAATCAGAACAATTCTGCATTTTATATTATTAGCATTGAATAGATGTATTTGACAGTTAACAACAGTAATCAATGCCCAAAAAAAACCTGCAAATTACCACCTTTCTTTACTTACAGCACAGCTCCACCAGATAAAAGTAACTGCTCTAAATAGACTAGAAAACCAGTCTCTACAAAGATTAACTGTAGCTGAAGTCGTGCTGGAAAGAAAAGAGCAGATTACTTCAGCATTTTCCTTATACAGGGAAAGATGCAGCATGCAGACAGGACTTAACCAATTGCAAGCTTGGAAGACAGAAGCACATCTGCATTGATGTTATAGCACACACTACAGTAAGTAATGAAATAGCCACAGGCTTAAGTATATTCAAAAGCTCCGACCCACCCTCCATCAATACCAATAATATCTTCATTCAGTACTGCCTCTTTCACATTTAGAACATCTTCACAGAGACTAAACAATATCAAGTGCTTAGCAGTGACAGTGTCAGGTTGCAGCCAAACATCACGCCTGAAAACAAAAACAAACCCTGCTTTTGGCAGGCATGCTAACCTTAAAATCAATGGACTAGCTGATGGGACTATTCACCAAGGGGTTTTTTGTTTTAGGGGTTGGTTTTTTTTCTTCTTTTAAATCAAGCATTCTAGCTGATTCTGAGGCTGCGACTACACAAAAGCCAAAAAGTATCAGTGCATGCAAATACACAAACATGCACATTTTAACATTTGTACACACATCAAAGATTATAATATTACAGCTACAGCACACAGGATAAAGGAAGGTAGCTTGCAACAAGTCACTGCTACTATGAAATACAACTCCACATGTGATAATGTTGGCCTCACGTTGAAAAAGAAAAAACCTTTATGTTATACAAAGCCATACAGATTCTTTCTAGTTTCACACTGTAGTTCTTACTGTTTGCGGATAGGAGAGTGGACGTAGTCTGTCATAGTCCTCTTGACCAGCTGTATCCCACAAACCCAGATTGACTGGTTTTCCATCAACCATTACATTAGCAGAGTAGTTGTCAAAACTAAAAAAACAAAGAGCTGCATTAGCTTGTAGTAGAATAGGGCGCCCAAGAACTTTTTTCCTACAGAGTCCTAACTGGGACCTCTATGAAAGGAAACATTTTTATTGCATCTTTTTTTCTCCCAGAAACAGTAAAGTTGTTCTTTAAATACAAAGCCTGGGTAATGGAAGGAAAAAAATGAACTTGGTCCAGTCTTGGACCAGACTTGGCCCAGTCTGAACAGTCATCATCTTTTTCACTGCTCTTCCAGAGGCAGTGTTAATCTCAGTAAGTACAGGAAAGCAGGTGATGCACTTAGCAAGCACTTTCCAGTCTTAGTGGGACATTCAGACAGTTAATCTGTCTCATTTTGTAAGATTTAGAACAGAAGATGCATGAGCAACAACCAAGGAGTCCTTCATGAAAACAGTAGGTAAGACAAAAACCTTATTAAACCTGATAATCAAAAACCCCTCCAATGAAATATCAAAGTTAATAACCAGGGGCCAGTAGAGGCATAATTTTTATCTCATCAGTACTTTAATGACTTGTTAAGGCTAAACTAAGTTCACTGGGAACACAAGCATACTGTAATGCAAAACCTCTGAATTTAAGACCAAGAAAAAGGAAACAGGAGTAATTAAGACAACAAGGCCTTGGAAGGGTAACTAAAGTAATCTGTGAATCTCATTAGAAAGTATTTTGTCATCTGAAAAACTCATCAATACTTACAGAGAGTAAGATAGCCAGATACATATAGAGACATCCAAAAAGGGCAAAGAAGCCGCTCATGCATAAAACACCTCCCCCCAAAAGGCCCTCAAAAAAGAGAACTACACTAATACGGATACTGACGAATCCTTACATGCAAGAAAATAGGAAGCACCAAAATAAATTAGTCCCCACAATCTTGCTTGAGGAGCTACAGAGCTGTGGCTGGCTTAGCACAGGGTTGGCAGTAGTAGCACAAGAAGTGGAAGGAGCAAATGAAAAAAAAAAACAAACAACAAAAAACTCTGGTCATGTAAACCAACTATTTCTGACTACAGTATGATGTTTTACAAGCTGTTGAGCCTTGGGACTGATTATTATGAATGATACTAAAGACAGAAATAGACATTATTTTAGAGGAGAACAGCATCTGATAAAATGTTAATAAATGTTCGTCCCTAATAAGGGCAGAGAGAGGCAAAACTGATGGGAGCGTGAACAAGATAAAATGTTAATAAATGTTCGTCCCTAATAAGCTAGGCCTAGAGGGCAGAGAGAGGCAAAACTGATGGGAGCATGAACAAGCACTGGTATGATTCTGCTAAGCAGTAAAAGCCCAAAGTGCTTCTCCTTGCACACACCTAAATATTCCTTTAAAGGTTTGAAATGAAACTGAGGGGTGCTTGCAGCCGATTCAAAACAACTCAAGTAAGGAATCTGGAATGGCAGTAAGCGCAGAGAAGTTGACATAAATGAGTTCTTAGGATTTTATTTAAGTACTTACACAGTGGGTATATATTCTCCAGGAAATGCATTGGTTGTGTAACTGATGAGTAGGCATGTTTTACCTACAGCACTGTAAAAAGAGAAAGTTCACATGTAAAACACATTCATCTTGAATAATGAGAAATAATATTCCTTTTTAGGGAGGAAGACTGATTACATCCAGTCATCTAAGGAACAATTGTCAGTAGTCACTATTGTGCTGGAAAACGGCTAATAGACTGTAGCCTTAAGATTACTGACAATGAAAATGCTCCTAACATAAACATCCATTTTGTAAAGTGGTAAATTACCAAATTTTGTTAATCTTTAGACAAAAAACCCACAAGTATTAATAAGACTGCTAACATCTGCTAGTCACCTGACTGAATACTCACCAAGATTGCCTTACTCCAACTCCCTAAAATTAAAACAAACCTGAAAAGTATTTCCAGATACCCTTTACACAATTCCAAAACTGTCATCTTTTCTGGAAAACGGTATACTTTCACGTAAGTAAAGTTTGAAAATGCTTGAAAAGTATAATATTTCAACACATCATTACTTTTGATTATTTGAGGAAAAATACAGATTATAATCCTCACAATATTTATTGCTATTGCAAAATTACTCCCAATATGCATTTGTCAACTATTCAAACATTTCATAAACTGGCTTATAGATAAATTACATTCCAATATTGTAGATCTTGGAACATCAAACCCTTCCCCACAGATCTAATTCTGAACAGCCTCAAATGGGAGCAGGACAAGGTTCTGTTCAGATTTCCTTCAAAACCCTGGCAGCCAGCTCCTCCCCGCTCCACCTTCCTCCCCACACCTTATCTAGAGTCAAACATTAGATTAACACCACCACTGAATTTTTGTTATGGTCTCAATTAAAGGTTTGGAAAACTTTAAGTTGGACCATATTTCTTTTTTAAAATAAACTCTGCAAAGAGCATTTCTGACACTGCAGATTGGTTCCCATGCTGGCTTATCACTTGAAGTACATAATCCTTAACAGCGTGAGAGATTCCAGAGGTGAGTGTGCAACTAGTTCCTCAAAAGTGATAATGCCCAGACAGCCTTACAGTCTTCCCAATTACTATTCTCAAACAAACTCCCATGCAAGGAAAACTGCGTTGTCTTGCAGATATTGCATTGCTACAATCATTTTCTCAAAGCAAGTCAGCAGTAACTTTGAAACCTTACTCTACTTACACATATAACCTTGCCTAATGCATTAACTTTGACTTGTGACCCTCCTGAACTAAATTTTTCACAAGCTGAAGGAACTCTAATTAAAGTTTTAGTCTAGAACTACAGTTAATATTAAAAACAAGCAAAACCCACCCAAGAACCAAATGCTATCACTAAAAATATCCTATTATCCTTCAGCCTTTGCAGAAGGAAAAAATAACACCTCACAGAAACAAGCTTTAGTCAAGGGCTTACGAGCTCTCTAGCTGCAAACATTTTGAGGCATTAATACCTGTATTTTACTATGTATCTTCCACTTAAATCATTGCATCCCTTCGCTTGGTTTGGAAACGTGTAGACTGTCCCTTCTCTTACCAAAGACAGTCTTCAAAGCATTATTTAAAATTATTTAACACTCAACATTAACCAACCAACCTTACCTGGTGACTCACAATTCAAGGCAGGTTAAGTAAATTTGAGCTTTGTCACAACCATAAGTTACTGTATATGTTTTAGCTCAATCTGTAACAAGTCTTTAAATTTCATTAAACTTCAAGCAGTTCCATACTGCATTAACCTGAGAAGTTATTTGATAGTAGCATCTGACAGCATTACCTTATTAAATGCTTGAGCTACAAAAGAGTTGCTTCAGTGTGCAAAATTATCCAGGATTTTATCCTAAATGCCCATTTTTAATCATAATTTTATGTTTCTGAGCCACCACCTAGCATAACATCCCATCTGCTGCAACTCTCTCTGATCATACCATGCAGTTTCCACGCTACTTTTTACACCTCCTTCTAAGGAAACAAGATGCCAGCTCCTTGCACAATCTGAGACATGTTTTTTTCCTTTCAGCATGCACTCTCTTTTATCAAGATATAACAAGAACAAAAAAGGGACATTTAATGCTATTCTTGATAAGTACAATCTCTGAACATTTTCCTGTAGTAAGAGGCTTGAGACATATCTGTGCTCAAATGTGGGAGAGGGATTTACCATTCAAAAACTTCTGTGGGAAAGAACTGGGGAGCAGTATGACAACACAGCTAAGGTAACTTAACAGCTGTCAAGAGGCGATCCCACCTCACCGCCTGCACTAGCACTCATTGACTCTGCAACAAGCCAGAACAAGGAGTTACGCAAAGCTATTCACTCCGCCTCCCCCATAAGGACGACACATTATTTTAGCTCCCTAAGCTATCAGTTAGATCATTTTGAATACACTGCTGAATTGCACAACACTATATAGCAGGCTACACTGGTCCAGCTTATAAAGGACAAATGTGAAAATCTTCAAAATACCAAGAGGGGCAAAAGCCAGCTTCTTTGGGAAACTTCTTGAGGCGCAGAGGCCATGTGTTCTCACACTTCTAGAACCTGTTTGTTCTGATGCTTTGTTTTCCAGTAAGTTCATTACAGGTAATTTAAGCTTCTAACAAATTAATGTTGAACTCAACATTTTCAGCAGTGGATCAAGAACTTTTCTCTGCACCCAGGCTCCTTTTGCTCACCTCGCACTGAAACTGGTGAGTCTGCTCTGGCTAATCAAAACAGCGCAGGAAGGAGGTGGTGAGAGATTTCATTCCAAGCTTAGAAGTGCCTGTAGTGTGCTTCTGCAGCACCAATCAGCCAGAGTCATTTAAACAAGAAAAAACACGTTCAACAACCCTGTTTCAGACTTGCTCCATCTAGGTTTCCTGCTTTCCTTGCCTTTTGGCTCACTGCCCTACGAATCAAATCATTATGGTCACCAGTCTTAAAAATAAACACTAATGCCTACCTTTATAAATAAAGCACATCCTCTAAGTACTTTATCAACTTTTTTACTTCTAACTTCTGCATTAAAGCAACTCCCCTAAAGAGGATTCCAACTGTTTGGCAAAATGTAAATCCTTGTACATAAAGGCTGAGACTAAGAAACTAAAATAACACCAAACCAAGATTAGTCATAACAAGATTTCTAGCAACTACTTAATCATAGCTCTGTCCACCCACTATTACATAAATGAAACTAGTAACATTTGACTGTAATTAAAAATATGGCCTACAGAAATCCAGTGTTTTAACCACTTAGCAATAAGTGAAAGACTTACAAAAGATGGCACCAAGTCCCTTATTGCTCCCAGGTACCATCCAGGAATCAATGTATTTCTATAACCACGTACGTATCAATTCCTGAAAACAAAACATGTCATCTCTTTCCTGTCCTTATTTACACTAACAAGTTTTATGAAGTCTCCCCACTGTGTTAGAACTGCTTGGAGTGGTGTTACGTGACACGCACTGAAAATGCTGTTAGAGGATCTGCACCAGCACTTCTTCCACTCTAAAGACACCGAAACTGCACAAATGGTTGAGAGTCTCCTGCCTAAAAACTAATTGAGAATTTAGTTCCCATTTGCAGCCATGGTAATGGAGACCAGCTGAAGTACTCAAAGGTTTAATTCCAGACACACTGATATCTACAAACAGATGGCAGCCTTCATGAAAACCTTTGATTATGTCCTTTCTTTCTTTCTCCGATCCACATGAACAACCTCCCTAGCAGACATGATGCACAACAGCCTAGGTCTTCACTCAAACATTAAACAGTAGCTGAGATTTCTTTAGTACCATCCTCAGACCAAAAGTTCAGTATTTTTGCTACAGTAGGTTTAGTTACAGAATCATAGAATCATTTAGGCTGGAAAAGACCTTTAAGATCATCAAGTCCAACAGACTTGGTGTTGCATACTGCTCTGCCAGATAAGCTGGTTTACTCGCTATGACACACCCTCTCCCAAAGATGCTGGTCAATACCTACCACTACATTTTTTAAACTTTAAAAGTGCAGTAAGACAAGTTACTACATTTCAAGTCCCCGCATTCTCTACAGATTGCACTGGAGAGATCTGAGGCATTCAGCATCTTACACAAACACTGCACTACGCTCAGTAAGAAGCCAATTACCCTGCCCCCCAACCCGCTCTCGCTCGACAAGCTATCAAATCAAATACAGCATAGCTTTAGCATACAAGGTCTCAAATTAAGCAGAATTCCAAGTGGGGACTCTTAATTTGCTGTTCCAGTTCTTACAGTATTTCTACAATTAAAAAGTGCCTGCAAAAGAACATTAAGTTTGACCATTTCTGTGGCACCTAGTAATCATTCCTCCAAAATGCAGAACTTCCCCTAACATTACACGACCATCACTGGAGATTTCGTACCACTTAACAGCTGCCTTTTTAAAGTGAAAACAAAAGCTGCTAAAAATAACTTACACCAATGCTTTTTCTCAAGTGTCAATCAACAGCAATTCTTGCAGTTACTCAGATGGACTGCTCTTCATCTGTCCTGCACATTCCTGATGCTCTGTATCACCAAGCACTCAAAGCAACAGTTGCCATTTATTTTTCTCCAAACAATCCTCACAGTGAAGAAAAAAAATCAAGGGCAAAATATGATAGCACAACTAGCATACATGCTGTGTTCTCCTAGTCAAATTAGTTGTCTAAGCAAACATGAGTTACGCATGAGAAACAGCCTACCCATTTACAAATTAAAAAAAAATAATCATCACACAAGTACTTCTACAGCTTTATTTTGTTCCTAGTAGATCTTTGCGGAGATAAACAATACCTAAGTTTTATATTACACAAGCAAATCTTTAACTTGCATTGTTTTACAGAAACACTAAGGCTTTATCCTTATCTAAGCCAAACATTACATGTTTCCTAGAATACCTGTAACACTGCAACTTTTGAAGCAGCAGAAGCACAGAGAAACACAAATAGCTAAGTATTTTTTAAAAAACACTGAATGGAGAATGATACAAAGTTACCAAAAATTAGCAACAGTACCTGAATGGAACCTTAAGAGAGATTTGTTTCTAACTAAGGAGGAAGGAAAACAAATTAAACTACTGTATTTTGTTCACAGATATATACAAAACTCAGGTAGAATTACACCGCTTTCATTTCCAAGACAAAGAGCAATAAATATGTTCGGAAATTGGATGGTTTACAAAGCAAATAACAAAAAGAACTGTTTTGTTGAATAAATTACTGTTTGTCTGCACAGAGTTCTTAAATCTAGTGGAGGAAGTAGACATAAGACAGAACTTTTTTCCCCACCCAAACATGATGCATCGCCTTGTCACAGACAACACAGATCAGCTGAATTAAAAAAACCTGATATAATAGAAAAGCAAATGTGTTGGTTTTAAAATCAATATAACTAAAAGAACATTCCGTAGTTATCCTATCTAGCATCAAAGAATTACCTTACTGTGAAAAGGCTTCATCTATTGCTTCATTTGTTCACTTTTTGTTATACAGAGTAAATTTATCTTTCGACCATACTTAACTGCCTTTTTAGGGATTCTGCATCTTAAAAAACAAAACAAAAAAAACCAAAACCCACACATAACTTGA